GAAGTTGGACCTGATATGCAGGCCTGTCTTCCCAGCTACTCCGGAGGCTACATTGGGAGGATGTTTAAGGCCTGTCTGGGCTGCAGAGCATATTCAAGCTCAGCCTGCGAAACTTAGCCACTGTTTCAAAACTAAAGTGCAAAAGGAGGGGCTGGAGATGTGCTGGCCTAGCATGGTGAGCCCCTGGGTTCAACCCAATGTAGTAAGGGAGGGAGGGAAATGGGAAGGGAGGAAGCCATTGCTGTACACACCGAATGTAGCTCTCCTCTAGGCAGATATGTGTGTCCAGCCCTGCTCTGTCAAGTCTCACCCCAGTAGTGATGGAAACTGCCAGAATTTGCACTTGGGAGGCTGAGGCATGGGGATCATAAATTCAAGGCTGGCCTTACATACTAAGGTCCTTCCTCAGGAAAACAAACAAACAAACAAACAAACAAACAAACAAAACTGAGGCAGACCCAGAATCAGCCCTCATTTGTATCCCTCTTTCTGAGCCTCAGTTTCCACTTTTGAAAATCCAAGTTTGCCAAAGCACCCGGCTCCTGAGAGGCACGATACGCACTGGGCTTAAAATCAAAGGCAAGTCTCTCTTCTTTAGTTTTTACTGTGGCTCCTACAGCTGCTGGGTCCTATGTGGCTCACGGTGTGTGTGCTGGCCAGTTAGGAGGGAGATTCTGTGTCTCTACCACCCCTGCCCTTCCTCCGCCCCAGGTCAGTGTCCAGCATGGAGAGCTGCTCCTACTGTCAATTGACAATTCCACCCCTGCCGACAGGTCATGACAGTGCCCAGGAATGGCCCTGTTGCCCTGGTCTAAGAAGCTCTAGGATGACGGGCATCTCTCTGGGTGTCTGCTCTCTATGAGGATGCTGTTTAGCACATCTGAGAGGGAACAGGCTGTCCCGGAGAGCCTCACTTCTACACACCCACCTTTCACAACTTCCAGGAAACCTCCTTCACCAAGAAGACCATTGTGAAATCAAAGCTGTCATATCAGCCAGCCTGGCCCACAGCACTAGGGATTTAAAATGCCATTTAACAAGCTGGGAGTGCTGGCATGGCCTATAGAATCCCAGTGCTTGGGAGGTCGTGGCAGGAAGATTAGAAGTTCAAGGTCATTCTCAGCCACATAGTCAGTTGGAGGCCACCCTGGTTTACCCGAGACCCCATAGCAGATAAACAAAATGAAAATAATGGAGCCCAGTGAGATGGCTCAGCAGGTAAAGGTGCTGGCTGCCAAGCCTGGCAGCATGAGCTCCATCCCTGGGACCCACATGGTGAAGGAGAGAACTGACTCTCGAAAGTTGCCCTCTGACCTCTACATGCTATTGGCTTACATGTGCGTGTATACACACACAATAAATCTAAGAATAGATAAAATGTATTTTAATTAGAAACAAAATGCTATTTGGAACACGCTGGCCATAGAATGTCCTATACCTTAATGACCATTGAGATCATCTCTGACCCATCCAGGACATCAACAGTAACTGGGAAAAGACTTATCCTCTGGCTCTGAAACCAGTCCCTGCAGTTCACTGGGGCAGGGTTCCGAGAGACTTCCCAGCCACATCACTCCACACATTAAGGATGGCTGAGGTCTCGTGACACAGGGAAGAGGTCAAGGCACTGCCATGCTCAAAGCATTTCTGGTAGAACCTCATGGCCAAGAAGGGTCCAGGCTTCAATAACCTGTCCTGCCTCTGGGCCTCATCTCCATCTGTCCCTACCAGGTGGCCAGGCCCACACTCCAGGATGGAGGTCCAGCTTCACGCTCTGCCTGGGAATGTGTGGGCTTCCTGTGTGGAGGAGGCCATGTGGGCGAGTAGAAACTGAAGAGCCCACTGGCATCAGGAGGAGGGAACTGTAAGAATGTTTTGCCTGTCTGAGAGCCAATTCATGTGGCTCTAACACATGAATGGAGCTACCTGGCACTGTAAAAAGAACCAGTTTCTCAGGGGTTGGAACAACTGGAGAGAGCAGCCAGGGCTGCTGGGCCTCGTCATCCACCTGGTAGGAGCCACTCTGCTGTAGCTTTTGATTCCCAATCGGAGCTTTCTCTCCTGGAGGAAGGAAGCAGCCTCATGAGGCTTAGGAAGCTCCTGAGAGTTACAGGATTCACTAGGCCCCTCCCACAGACTGGAATGTGCAAGGACACAAGCAAGCAGCTGCCCACAGCCTCCCAAGACAGAGTAGGTTCACACGTCTGTGGCCTCCAGAATCGTGAGAAAGAAAGGTCATGGCAGCAAGAGTGCACTCGTGTGAGCCAGGCCCTCTCTGCCCCAGAAGGTCTCTTGACAATCCCTCACACGTTACAGGCCAAGGCTGGGGTTGGGTGGGGGTGGAAAGCAGGGCCCCCAGGAGGAAATGACAGGGGAAATGAGTCTTTGCAATTCACCCACAGAAGAGGGTCACGTGAGTAAAACAGCCTAGCAGCCCCAAACAGAGGCCATCCTGGAGAACATTCTGGAAAGCCATGCTAAGGCCTCAGAGGTCAGCTGGGCATCTGAAAGTATACCTGAAGGATGTGCCAACGTCTCCCAAGTAGGGTGCTTATCACTATGTAGGTCTCAAGCCTCAAAGTGGGAATGGCACCCAGAGCCATGTGTATCGAATGCTGTCCCACACTGCAGCCAGCAGGGACAGGGATAGGAAGTTAGCCCTGTGATTACATAAGAGAAACCCCAGAGCTGTCAGCATGATCCTAACTTCCTGCCTGTCACCACCTGTCTCAATGACTCTTGTCATCAGGGCCATGCGGTTGGGGAAGCTGGAAGGACTACCAGACACAGTCACCGCTGCAGGAGGGGGGGAGTCACAGTCCCTTGGTCCTGTTGTGCTCACTTCACAGAGATTGAAAACGACCAACCTCTAGGCTGAGGTGACAGGTGCCGGCTGCCGACACCACTGGAGACAGAGAAAGCCCCAGGGGCCCTGTATTCGTGTGCAGCTTTCAAGACTGTATTTTCAGGGATCATTTCTGTAGTTGGTGTGCAGCTTTCAGAGCTGTTGGGGAGCTAGCTGTGTCTTATGGAATGAGTAAATACACACACACACACACACACACACACACGCTCATACACACATATGCATGCACATACAAACACACAGACGTGTATGCATACACACGTGCACACGTGAGGAAAAAGAGCTAGAAAACTAAACACACACACACACACACACACACACACACACACACACACACACACATGCCCAGCCATGTCCCAGATGATGGGTAGCAGACAGATGCTATGACCTGGACATATCTAATATTTCGACATTTTCCACAGAGTGAGTGTCAGAAATAGAAAAAAAAAAAAATCAACTTCTCGGAAAATAAAAGTATCAAGGAGAGAGGATCGCAGGCTTGACCTGGATGCTGTGCTGACAGTGAACAAGCCAGCTTTGAAAAGTAAGGAAAAAGGCCCGAGGGCCAGCCCTACCTCTCCGACTCCACCCCGTTCCTGCGTGAGCCCGTGTAGCTCTTCTTTTTGTCCACAGGCATCACGTCTGCATAGCCACCAGTCTCATCGCTGACGACGCCTGCGTGCACGGCCGCCTTGCAAATGCTGGAGGTCTGTAAGGACAGGGGGCTGTGTCAATGCCAGGTCCTGGTGCAGCCGACCACAATGACCCCAGAAAACCTCCCGCACCACCCCAGCTCCTGGACATCCATCATCACCGGCTCGCCATCATCGCTCGTCCACAAATTCCACACTGTCACACTGTGTGCCTGACCCCGGGGGATTTAGCAGAGACCAAATGAAGGCCAAATGCTTCCATGGAGTCAAGGAGGTGAATATACAAACACACAAGCAAGGTCTGTGAGGAAAACAAAACCAGGTCAGGAGAGGGCCGGAAGAGGCTGCTTCAGAGCAGTGGTGTGCAGACGAGTGTCAGAGGAGTTCCTGCCTCATCTATGTGGATGTCTGTAAGTGAAAAGCATTCTAGGCAGCGGGAGCAGACTGTGCAAAGGCCCCGAAGGAGGAGTGAACACATCATATCCCAGGAGGAGAAAGAAGGCTAGAGTGGCTGGGATGCAGTGACTCGGGCCAGCGTGGACACAGGTGGGCACTTTCAGATGCCTCCTGGGCACCGGGGCTCAGGCTGGTGTGGGGGTGTACTGCTTTCTAGACCTTAGGTGTCTTGGGGCCTGAGGGATGAGGCTCTGAGCTCAAGGCTCATCGGATAGAAGATGGGCGGGCACATCCTTTTACTTTTCATCTGGCAGTAGGGCCGTCCAGGGTGGTCCCAGGCAAGGACCAGGGTATCATTTAAGGCTGAGGTCTGTTCTGTCACCTCCCTGGCCATGTCCATGTGCCTTCCGGCTGGTGTCAGCTTTGTAGTTTAGACTGTGGATTCCACCTTTGTTTCCTGTGTGCACACCAGCCAGTGCCCGGCCTCAGAACTGCACCCCAGGCTGTGGTCTCCATCTTTGCTGTACCATGGGAGCAGCTACAGTCTTTTTAGGAAGATGGTGTCCAAGTGTCTTAACATCCTTCCTGGAGGTCTCAGCTGCACATACTGGAGCTGAGTTGATTGGCATGGGGCGGACCTGCCCAGTATGAGCACACACACTGCCCCTGACCGAATCTTAGTCCTGGCTATGGCCTATGATCCCATTTGATTTAATGAGGTGGGTGGTAACCATTATTCCTACTTCTCAAGCCAGCAAGCTGGGCACACAGGGTCAGTCACATTGCCAAAGCCACTTGAGAATTGTTGACGCCAACTGAAGCCAGGGCGAGGGCGGGTTTGGCATAACAATGGTCCCCAGAAGTGACCACAGCCTAATCCCCAGACCTGTGAACAGCAGAAGGGGTTTTGCAGATGGGATTAAGTTAAGGATGTTGGGACAGGAGATTACCGGGTTTATGCCAAAGTCCCAGTAACATCACAGTGTCCTATAACGAGGCGGGGGTGGCGCTCAGAGCTGGAACACGTAAAACTGCCCTGGCTGTTGCTGACACTGAAGAAGCCAGGAGCCCAGGCGTGCGGGTGGCCTAGCAGAGGCCAGGGCACTAGCTCTGTTTGTTGCCCTCTCTCCACACTGAAGAATGGAGTCAGCTACATACCCCGAAGTCTCCAGAGATGCCTAAATGGATGATCATGCCCTGGAGTGCTACATCATCAGAGCTGTGAATCAAGGTACTCCCTAAAGGGCCTACTTCAGGCTGGTTGATGTCTATCCTCCAAAACCATGACAATCAAGAGTCACTGATACCTAAGGAGGTGTGTGAGCATTTCCTCCAGGTTGGATTGACCATTGCCATCTTCAGTCAGAGCAGCTGTGAGTATTCCGTGAGATCCTCACATGATCCGGCCTATGGGCAGCGCCCCATAAGGGAGGGGGCGCCCAGAATCCTTAGAGACGCCCTGCATCTTGAGATTATTTAGAAGATAGAAGAGTTGACTGGGTGGGGTCTCTTCCTGTATAATTGTGAATCACCCAGGGGGAGTCTTCAATGGTGTGGCTGCTGAAACACCATCCCTGGGACTTCCTGGTGGCCTGTGAATCACCCACAGCTCCGGGAAGTACCTCCAGTAAACTCACTGGTTCGCCAAGATGAACCTGGATGGAATTCTTTCTTTGGTCTATGGGTGTCCTTCCTGGCTGGTAGAATCAAGACATCATGGTCTCCTCAGGAAAAGCCAAAGGCTGGAGAGTCCAGGAGCCACCCCAACACTCCCATACCCAAGGCTCAAAAACCAAAGGCCTGGTCTTCAATGCCAGGGAGACATGTCTTGTCTTCTTCCGTCAACAAATGATGCAAACCGGATCCTTAGCCCCAGGTGGTCCTGGAAAGTGGCCTACGAGGCCAGGAAAAGCTGGTGACTGGCAGCATCTGGTTCCAATCCTGAGCATGGCAGGATGGCCAGTCACCCTGTCTTCGCAGAGAAGCACTTTTTATTTTCTTCCCCTGAAGAAGGATCTACAACATCCAATTCCTGAAGAGGTTTGTGCTTTGAAAGGTTAAGAGGCAACAGACCCACATTTGTCTCTAAGATGGGTGGGGACACTGGTGACATCAAACCATTCTTCAGCTTCAGAATCCCCAGAAGCCACCTCTTGGAGGCATGTTAGATGAATGGACACCACATGCCTCTTGTGCCGACGGGTAACTGGCCAGCCATGGTGTTGCTGCTCATCCTGTCTAGGGACTGCCATTTCCAGGAGCGAGGCATCAGTCTCTGCTGCTGCCAGGAAAGGCCTCCTAGGATTCCTTAAGTCCCCTGGAGTTGCACACTCACGCCATGGGAGGTGCATCGTCCCCAGAGACCAGGAGGCTGTGGTTGTGCCCTTCATCCCCTCCCTGGAGTCGCTGCAGATACCGTGACACCCACATTTCCTGGATGAAACATTCATGCATGGCAGGCTGCTCTCACATCTCATGCCTGGTGACGCTCACGTCTCCGACTATTGCTAGACAAACATTCTTTCTCCTTCCCTCTCCCTGCATCCTTCCCCTGCCTCCCCTGCCACACGTAGGGGCGTTCACTGTCTGCTCATGCTAGTGTAACATCAATTCACAGACATTTCGTAACAACCCCTATGATCCTTGAGGCTCGTCAGCTAGCCCTGGCATTTGGTAGCTCTGAGACCAGGATGACCTGTACCCACTGCTTACTGTCCAGGGGCACCAGCATAGGTGACACTGGATCTGTGCCCAGCCTGTCGCTTACCCTGGCATCATGAGCCCACAAGATCATTGGGGTCACTGGTCACTATGAATCCCTCTCAGTGGATTCGAGATTGGGGGCCAGGAGCTAAACAACCTGCCCACGGTCACTCAAGGACAGAGAGGCCATGATCCCATGGACAGTGGGAATCAGTGAAGAAGAATAAAGGCTGCTGTGTTCCTCAAAGCGAGGTTCAGGGTTGCGCCTGACCTGGTACACAGTAACTGCCATAGGCAAAGGCCACCAACTGCCAAACCCTCTGTCACCATCACCAGGACCCCAAACTCTCAAGGACTGTCCTTGACTATGAAGGACCTTCAGCAGCAGACCACAGCCACCAGCAGACAGGCCTTCTGGGAACGTGTTCAGATGCAGGTTCTGCAGCTCTGCTCAGGTCCACTGGGTCAGGACAGCTGCAGAGGGCCTGTCTGAAACCACCACTCCCCTCTGGGATCCTGATGCCCACACAACGGGAGTTTGCTAGAGCAGCAGATGAGGCCAGGAGGATGGAAACTGAGGCCCAGCTGGGGAAAGAAATCCACATGGGTAATTCCCCTGGCTGGGGCCAGCTTGGGCCTCCTGACCTCGGCTCTGCTGTCTGAGCCACACCCCGACAGTCTTGCCTGCAGCTCACCACCACAAAGGGAGCTGCCGCCAGGACAGGCACTCTGCAAACGGCTGTATCCGTGGCACTCGGAGGCCCGTCAAAGGTCTGGAGACTACACTCCCAAAATAAATCTCTTAGCTAAACAGACATTTTCCAAGAGGCAGCATCATTTCCCAGAATACAAAGTGACCTAGAAACACAAGCCAGGAGAGCCTAGGGATGGGGGCACACTCTTGCTCCCTCTTCTTGCCTATGCCATCCTCCCCCTCTCTCTTCTCCTCTCTCCTTCTTTTTGAAGGATTTTTACCATCAACAACTGCAGTATCTTTTCCTCCAACAAATACTGAGCCATTACTGCATGCCAGGCCCCAGACAGAAGCCCCGCCATTTCCAAGGATCACTGCCCAAGTAGGTGCATTCATTAAAGGCTTCATTCACTAACACGCCTGCTCCTGTCAGCGCAGGCACAGCTAAGCAGAAAAAAGGCAGAATAAGAGAAAATCGAGAGGGTACACCATCTCACTTTGCCATGCGTTTGCTGTGGCACGCGGATCAGGCTGTTCTGAGCCTTGTTTTCCCCCTTTGCAAAATGATAAGGATTCCTAAACAAGGCATTTTTTAAAAACTTGAAACGCAGAACATAACAGATACTGAATAAAAAGCTTGGCCGCATTACTATCACACAGCCCCGTGGAGGGGAGAAAAAGAGTAGAGCACCTTTGTTTTGAACTTCTAACTTATGCTTTATGTGTTTAGTTGTTATGTTATTTAGTGCATACAGATTTGATCTTCATATCTTTGCATGAAAATCTGCTTTCTTAAAATCTCTTGTGCTCTTGCCTGAAGAATTGTTTTGTTCCACTCACCGCTTTTAAATTTGAATTTTATTTTATCAGCTAGTAACATGGTAACTTTTTAAATGGTTTGTATATGGTTGAAATAGTTTTGTCCATTCTTTTATTTTGAAAACATTTCAAAAAAATTTTTTTTCATTTTAAACATTTTAAAATCACAGTCTGGGCCCCCTCCCCCCCTTTTCTTTAATTTTTTTTTTTTCTTTTCTTTTCTTTCACTTCTGAGGATGGAACTCAGGACTTCATATTAGGTGAACTATGACAATCAATACATGGCATTTTACTTCTCCATAAATGCTCTAACATTTAGAACTTAATTTCAGCTAAACAGCTTTCCAGAAGTTTTTAGGCTCATAAGGAAAAAAAGACAAGGAAAAAAGCTTAGTCATGAAGGCCACTTTGGCCTTATGGAACTAAGTGACTTCACGGGTACAGGAATCTGGGACAATTGAAGGCAGATGGAAGCAAAGATGGTGGTAGTGAGGGAAAAAGGCCGTTTACAGAGGTGGGGAAAGTGTGAGTGATGCCTCAGCTGGAGACAAATGATACGAGCAGCTGGCAAGGTTTCAAGGTAGAAGATACCCTTGGCTGGGCAAGGCTGGCTGGGCCTGGGATTTCCACTCAAAAAGAAGAAAAGAACTCAGAGGGGTTACACACACTCGCACCTTCTGGGTCACGGTGGCCCTACGCCCTGGACACTGGAGGAAACTGGCTAATCCCTGAAAATCAACAAAAGAAAACTGGGCCTTCATTTCTGAGTTAGGAGGGAAGACGAGGAGACAGGGGCTGATGGGAATACTGGGGTCTCGCCATAGAGGATTTGTTTTGCTTTGTTTTCTTCTATGCGCTTACAGCTAAGAGCATGCAAGGCAAAAAGAAACAGTGAGTAAGCTGAAACCGCACATATAGAAAGAATACAGAGAAATGGAAAGGTGACAGAGCTGGCCAGTTCTCTGTCAACGTGGTACAAGCTAGGGTCATCTGGGAAGATGGAGTCTCAGCTGAGAAAATGCCTCCATCAAACTGGCCTGTAGCAAGTGTATAGGGTCTTTTCTTGACTCAGTGATTGGTGTGGGAGGACCCAGGTCACCAGGGTCAGTGCCCCTCCTGGGCAGATGGTCCTGAACTATGTAAGAAAGTAAGCAAAGCCAGACAATGTGGAGCATGCCTGTGATCCCAGCACTCTGGAAGGCAGAGGCTGGAGGATCTCTGAATTTGAGGCCAGCACAGTCTACAAAGTGAGTCCAGGACATCCAAGGCTACTCAGAGAAATCCTGTATAGAAAAACAAAACAAACCAAACAAAGCAAGCAAGCCATGGGAAGCAGCCAGTACGCAGTGTTCAGGCAATTGCTGCCTCCAAGTTCCTGCCTTGAATTCTGCCCTGACTTTCCTCAGCGATGGACTGGGGTCCGAGGACTGTAAATTGAAATAAACCCTTTCCTCCAAAAGTTGCTTTTGGCCATGGTGCTTGTGACAGCAACAGAAGCCCTAACGATGGGAGTGATTAACCATAGAGGAAATGAAGCCTGTGAAACAGTGACCTTCAAACCACAACGACCATCTAGGGGAGAGGAGAAGATCTAGAACTTTCATTCACAAACACAGACAGTGGGAGCCAGACCCATCTGTGAGTGGGACACTGGGGCTGTGGCTGCAGGAACTGGCAGGCTAGGTGTAGCCACAGGCTACAGCGCGGGATCTCAGCTCACGGCTCCCACACCTTGGCCTGGCTTTCTAAGGTGGCTACTCACATCAGCATAGATGTTGGTTCCAAACACAGGGGCCCAATAGGACGGCTCCTCTCCGCAACGTGCAGGACACTGGACTCTAGAAATGAGAAGCAATGATAGTAAGGAGTGGTGTGGGGCCAGTAGGACATGGTACCCTGGGCTCACTCCTTGTCTGAGTTTTCAGGGGAAAGAAAACTACCATACTTTCTTGTTCTCTCGCATTATCATTGTTTTATTTCTCTCTCTCTCTCTCTCTCTCTCTCTCTCTCTCTCTCTCTCTCTCTGTGTGTGTGTGTGTGTGAACTCATACATGCCATGGTTTATGTGTACACATCAGAAGACAACCTACAAGCGTTGGTTCTCTCACCACATGGGTCCCGGGGCTGGAACTCAGGCTGCCAGGCTTGGCAACAGGTGTTCCACCCACTGAGCCATCTTGCTAGTCTGCAGTTTGCACAGAGGCCTGGGAATCACAGCTCAGAGGAGGAGCACTTCTGTGGCCTTGGGTCAAGCCCAGCTCTAGCAGAAGGAAAGGAGACAATTGTCCCCAGGATGGTAAACACATCCTTGTCTTTAATTAACCATGCATGTACAGCTTGAAAACCCCACAGAAAAATAAAGCAAAGAGCAACGAGGTCCCAGGAGAGGCGCGCTGAGCTGTGGGATTGCGCCTTCCTTACCTGGGTATTGGTGGGGTGTGCTGTGAGCACAGATTGGAGATCGTTATCAACAGAGTTTTTAAGGCTACTTCCCTATGTGTTGAGGAAGGGTGGAGGACCCTCACCTCAGTGACTCGGAATGTTCCAAGAAGAGCACAGATCTCTTGAGGCAGAAAGGGTTAGATTACTATGGAACAATGGCCTCAGCCCAACTGGTGGCCCCAGGGCTGAAGAGGGCTCCTGGACTGGAAATAGGTGGGCCCTGGTGGCTGGCAAGCCCCACATGAGCATGAGCTTTGCCTAAGAAAAGGCCTTTTGTGTCTGTCTGGCACAGTTTACCACAGGCCGAGTCCAGGGACCTGGAAGCCAAGATGGCTGCCGGAAGCCACCTGGCCCAGACACAGACAGGATGCTTGGCAGGAAGGAAGCTAATCAGGCAGGCCGAGGGAGCTCTGTGGAAGAACAGAAGGAGCAGGCAGGGGAAGAGTGGGGATGGGGATTGTGGTGTGTGTGTGTGTGTGTGTGTGGTATAGGAAGGTTTGTGTGCTGTGTGCTGTTTGTGTGGTTTGTGGTGTGGCGTGTGTGTGTGTGTGTGTGTGTGTGGGTGTGTGTGGTGAGTGTGTATGGTATTTGTGGTATGTGTGTTTTGTGGAGTGGTGTGCATGTAGGATATGTGTGTGTGGTGTGTATATGTGTGTATCTGATGTGGGTGTGTAGATGTAGTTTTTTAAAAACACAATCGTCCAGTCTACGAACTCTCAAACCTGCTCTTGGTGTGAGGTCGGGAAGTTGTATGTATGGACACGTGGAGCCTGACAAACTGTTCGTTTGTGCTCCCTGCCACTTTCCTTCTGTTTCTCTGTGACACTCAAGAAATCCACTAAAGTTGTCTGACGGCCCTTGAACGCTTGCTGGAGCCAGTGTCACCCCCCTAACAATGCCTCTGTAGGCTTTCTTCTGTGCACACAATGGTTCCCCCTGCGGGGGGGGGGGGTGGCTGTTGCCAGAGAACACTAAGTAGAGAGACACAGGCTGCAGGTCTACCTTCTACTCCTTCCAGAGTCCAGTCTTCAGGCCCCGGGGTTCCTGGGACAGACAGCCTGTCACTCAGCACCAGAGGTGACTGCATTTAACCGAAGGCTGTCTAGCCCAGGGCTGTCAGCTGGGGGGAGGGGGAGGTCACAGCTATAGTGTGGCTGAGTCCTGTACTGGCCGGAGGTCAGCTTCTCTTTGTTGTGTTTTCTGACAGGGGAATAACCTGTGACAGGTAAGTGTGTCCAGGCTCTACTGAGTCCAGGAAGGGGGACATTTCCATGTCCCCTTCCAAGGGGCTTTATGGCAACTTCAGATACAAGGGGTCCCTAGGACAAGGAGAACCCCTCTCTGGTGAGTCAGGTTCAACAGACAAGGTTACTCTCTGTTATGTTCACCAAAGCTGGGGCAGGGAAGCTTCCAAGCTCAACGCTCTCTCCCCTGAGGCCCTGGGGTGTGGGGGCACCCTGGGTATGTAATGACCTTAACCTGACACTCACACCGAGTAGAGGGACTTAGGATAGGAGTTAGACATCGCCAGCTTAGTATAAAGGACTGACATCTGGGCCCAGCTGGGCACAGAGCCTCCTGTGCATCCCAGACCCGGGAAGGCCAGCAAGAAGACAGCAGGGCAGGAGAAACCTCAGCCCCTCCTACCTCGGGCAGTGGCTGGCCGGCTTCTCGAAGGGGCAGAGCTGTGCCACTGTGCTGTAGCAGTCCACTGCCGTCTCTAGAACAGGAGACGGGAGGTGTCAGGTCATGGCTCACAGTTCAGGCTGCGTGTTTTCACTCACACTGTGCAGACAGGCCCACAGCTTAGCGTGTCTGCAGGCGCACACCTACCTTGGTCTCCCCACGGGCTGCTGATCATACTCGCCATTTGATGCTTGCTTTTGAAACCCGTGCCCTGCCCTGCCATCTCTGACCATCCCAGGTGTGACTCTGTGTCTACACATGGAGAAGCCGAGGGACCGTAGTGGCTCCTGCTTCCGTTTCTGATCTCCCTGGCATCTATCGGTGCCAGGACAGTGACTCTGGCCATCAAGGCCTTTAAACAGCAGACCTACACTGACCACATCTGTGGTATTCAGCCATGCCCCAGTGGTTCTGACTCAGTCATTGACAGCCAAGTTCAAATCCAGATGTGCTTAGAAAGCAGTAAGGGAAGGGGCTCTTCAGGACCCTCCTGACAGCCTTTCTGGGAACAATGCCTCAGGCCAAAATGATAACTATAAAGAAAGGATCAAAGGAAGGGGGACTTCCTGGGCAATCCCAGCCGGCCCATGCACATTCTGTTCCCTTGGGGCCTGGCCCACTTACCTTTCACTTTTGACACGGTGAAGGAGCTGGAAGGCTTGTATTTGCTGGAAGGGAAAAGGTGAGTCAGTGTATGTGCCCCTAACAACCCACACACCTCACACTGCCCTGCATGAAACAGGGGAACTGAAAAGCTTAGAATATTCCAGAGTGGGACTCTTCCAGCAGCCTAGGGAAGCCTTCGGACCCCTTCTTAGAATAACACATTTCTTTTTTTTGGTTTCTTGATACATGTTCTAGAGGGGCTGGAACTCACTAACCTCAAACCCACGGTAATCCTGCCTCAGCCAGAAAAAATAAAAATAAAAAATAAGGTTCTTAAATGCACAAGATGAAGCCAGGCCGGTGGCCAGAGGTTAAGATACAGAGTTCAACCAGGTGGCCCAGCCCTAGGAGACCCAGACTGGAGCAGCTGGCAGCCCACAGGACAGAGTCAGCTGTGGGACACGGGTTGTCTTTCGTTTTCCTGTTTTCTTAGACGCTTCCCAAAGTTTCAGTCATGTGTGGACGTGGTATCCTCCTGTCTCTGCCTCCCCAGTTTCAGGATCACAAATAGATCAGACACAGGTCCTCAGGTTTGCACTTTACCATATGCCCAGCCCTCAAAAACGCTTCTACAATAAGCAAACTCTGTCAGGGCCCTCACCCGCCCCCATCTCCCATCCCCCATCCCCACAAGACAGGTACCTCAGGGACTCCATGCCATTTTTCTGAGACTTGACAAAGAAGGGTACCATCCCATTCCTAGTGACATCCACCAGGCCACCTCGGTCATCAATGACACCATGGTGGATGGCAGCTCGACATATGCTGGAAGACTACGAGCAGAAAAGAGGCCACAGATGGACAGAGCTCCTTTCCCAGAGTCATCTGAGCCACTTGTCCCCGGCCAACCAAAACCAAAAAACCAAAACATACCCCACCCGACCATTCACATGTGGCCGACCTTGGCCACATCCTGTTCCTAGATGGCTTAAGAGTTCATCTTGGCCGCTTAAGCCCTTTCCAGCTGAGTATGTTGGTCCCAGTCCCTCAGTGACCTTCAGTCCCCTTTCCCAGAAATGGTCTCAGCAGCTTTTGAGCCACGGGGCCATTCAGATCAGTCCATTCGGACATTCCAGGTTGAGCCAGGAGAGAGAACACCGGTCTCCATGAGCCCCCACTTGCTTTTAGGGGGGGCTTCCCACTTGCCATGTACAGAAGCGCTGGCCACACTCACACTTTCGTAAAACAGAGATCCGAAAACCTTCGCCTTGTTGTTCAGACAGCCTGCGGGGCACTGGTACCTGATGGGTGAATAAAGAAAAGCTCGCTGGTGAAACTTCCCGGCGACATCGCGATTTTCCCTCACGAGCTTTCTTGAATTTTGTAAATATGTCACTGACGGATTCCACCGCTATGAAAATTGTGTGTGTCTCCATTTGTATGCACAGGTGGAGGTGTGGGTGCCTGCAGATTCCAGGAGAGCTGGTTAGTTCCCAGGAGAGGCTTTTGTGAGGGCTGGAATTCAAGCCCTGGTCTTCCTTCACACCCAGCAACGACCATTCTGAACTGCCGAGCCATCTCTCCAGCCTTTGTTTGTTGTGAGATCGAGCCTTACTTTTCGGCCCAGGATGACCTGGAATTGATTATGGCCTCAAATTTGTGACAATCCTCTTGCCTTTGCCTCCTCAGTGTTAGGATGACAGGCACACACTACCCAGTGTGTGTGTGTGTGTGTGTGTGTGTGTGTGTGTGTGTGTGTATGTGTGTGTGTACATATACGTGGTGCATGAGTGTGGCAGCCAAAGGTCAGTGCTGAATGTCTTCTTCTTGTTGTTAATGAGGTTAACATAGAACAATGAGGCTCCTGTTCACCACAGACCCAAACCTAACCTATAGGAAAGCCTTCAAGTTCACGTCCACAGATTCTCCAACTTCCCTTGTAAATAGGAATATGCCCAGCACAAAGACAGCAACTCACCCCAGCTGCACATCAACTGTACCAGGACAAAGACACGGCCAAATGGATCTTTTTTGTTTGTTTCTCTGTGCAGCCCTGGCTGTCCCGAACTTCTTCGTAGACCCATGCTGGCTTCAGACTCACAGGGATCCACCTGCCTCTGCCTCTCTGAGTGCTGGGATTACAGGTGTGCGCCCTGGGTTTGGGTGTGACACTTGACACCATTTGCCTTGTGGCACCAACACTCAGTGGTTTCCTCTAGAGGAACATCTGCAGAGGTTCCCACAGCTGCACAGGGCACCCAATGGGTGTCCCCCTGGGACAGCCACATCTTGGCTACTCTGTTCCCTGTTCACTCACATCCATGGGAGTAAAGGCTGTCCCACCAACTGGACTACAGGTCCCTCGGGTGATATGAAGAGCCACCTTCTCCTTCTAATGGATGTTCCAAACAACTCACTCAGCTCTCAACAGACTCACACCATGCCAGCATCCCTGAGCAGAGGCCCTGAGTGACACTTTCTAACACTCTCCTAAATGATGCTATCACCCCCTCAGGGAGCAGGGTTCATGTTCTGCCTGGGCAGAGCACCACCCTGCTAAATCCTCAGAGACTGCACACTTTCAGCTAAACCTCAGGCTAAATCTGGAAGCCAGCTCCAAAGGCAGGCCTCACACCAAGGGGTCAGCCACAAACTGAAGTGAGAGCTGGTCTGCCAGCACCCATCAGGGTTGAGATACTGTTTTTGATTTTATAATAAGAGGCTCCATGTCTATCATTCCCATAATCACGGGGACCCTTCTCTGGACCAGAGACAAAGCACCTGGCAGTAATACTTGCCTAGTAGGGTTAGTTTAGGATGCGCTGGCTGATGTCTGGGAACAGTTTTGGTTGTCCCCACTGGCATTTGGTGGAGATCAAGGTCGGGGAGTTTGCTCAACATTCCATAATATACCAGGTACCCCACCTCATTGTTTCATGTGCCCCAGGAGTGACAGTTGAGAAATGCTGGTGACATGTGCTCAGTCTGAGGCAGTGGTCAGGGGTGACAGTGGATGTCGTGGTTGGGGGACAGCAGGCCACCACTGTCAGGGGGACAGAGGAGTGTCACGGTCAGATTGGAGCATGGCGCATATGGTATGCTGTGCTAACAGTAGGAGCGGTATTACCCCCACATCTTTCCAGGAGGCTCAGAGTAGGAAGCAAGGCTTTCGCAAATCGCGTGGCTTGACACATGCCTCACGAGGGTCCTAAAGGCAGCTAGCCCAGCCCAGTCCAGCCGAGTGGGGCCCTCACCTGTTACATGTGGATCCCTTGCATGTGTCCTTCATCTTGGTGTCACAGTGGACCACTTGGGCTAGGAGAGACATGAGAACGGGACTATGAGATCAGGAGGGTGAATCCTGGCTAGAAGACTCCTCCATCATTCCAAGGGACATTCTGGAATGCTCTTAATGGTCCAGGCTGTCCTGGAACTCACTCTGTAGACCAGGCTACCCTCCAACTCAGAGCTTTACCTGCCTCTGCCTCCTGAATGCTGGGATTAAAGGGATGTGCCGCCACCTTCCAGCTTCTTGTCATTTCTAAGACAGGTTTTCACGATCAGCACAGGCTGGCCTCACTTGAAATCCTCCTGCCTCAGCCTCCAGAATGCTGGGATGACGAGCCCCTATCGCTATGCCCAGCTCCAGCCTTACTTGTCACTTCAGACAGAGGCAGTTGTAGCCTGGCATAAGTTATTTTCCACTGAGACCCATTACCACCCTCAAACAAGGTAGACACAGCAGTGCTCACCTCCAAAGATTCTTATGAGCATTAGATAAAAATAAATAAGGAAGGAAGGAAATAAATCATGTGACCATGATGGTTGCCTGACACACACACTCAAGTCCCTACAGCCCTACCTGGCTCTCAGAGGGTAAGGCTTACAAAGGGGTGGTCTGTCCAAGGGGTATGGCTTGCGGGAGACGGAGTATACAGAGGAGTAGGAGGGTGAATTTTTAGGCCGCAGGGTTTGCACGAGCCCTCATTCCAGCCTGGACATAGGGATCCTGGCTGTTCTTATCCACATTATATCCCTTGCAACCATTTGCCAACCATTTCCACACTGGGAGCAGTGTTAAGAAAAAACTAACAAGCCAGGTGTGGTGGCTCATGCCTTTAATCCCAGCACTTGGGAGACAGAGACAGGTAGATCTCTGAGTTCGAGGCCAGCCTGATCTACAAAGAGAATTCCAGGATAGCCAAGGCTGTTACACAGAGAAACCCTGCCTTAAAAAAAAAAAAAAAAAAGGAAGAAAGAAAGAAAGAAAAAAGAAAAGAAAAGAAAGAAAAAAACTAACAAGAGGCTGGACAGATGACCCAGTATTTAAGAGCATATACTGTTCTTGCAGAGGACTGGAGCTCAGTTCCCAGCACCCAAGGTCGGGCAGTTCACAACTGTCTGTAACTCCAGATCCAGAGGATCTGACATGGGGGGGGGGCACTGCATTCATGTGCACATAACCACACACAGGTAAACACACAATTAAACATAATCAAAATAAATCTGAAAAAGAGATGAACGAGACTGTAATTTTGCAGTATTAAATCTGGCCCTGTCAGGACAGCCAGGGCACCAGCCCACTTTCTGGCTAAGCCAGCTATGCGTTCACTGCTGGCTGGGCATGTTTGAAGGCCAAAAGAAGAGAGAGCCTCATGTAAGGAAAGAGTCTTGGGTGTCTGAGGAGAGTGGACACACCTTCCCCTGGCAAGTCCACTGTTGTCTTCTCTAATGCTGAGAGACAGGGAACTCCAGGCATTCAGTGTGATCAGTGGCCTTGCTGTGGGAAACACCCACCAGCCTGTGCCTACACACCAACTAGATAGGGGCTGAGCTCTAGCTGGGCAGGGAAGCAAGTAAGCCTTAGGGGGTGAGGTGTCCGGGGCAGAGAAGACAAGAGGTGAGTTTGGAACAGTCCTCATTTCGGGATTTCTAAGTCTCTGGGAATAGCCAATGTCCACCCAAAGGGTGGGGATTGGAAGCAATTCATCCTGGTCTCAGTGCTGGGAGTCATCCACCGACTCTGGGTGGCTGGCTCATGCTGCTGCAAGCAGTCAGGCGGTCACAGCTATGGTCACCCTCCTTGTACGGATGAGCAAATGAGTCAAGGCAGGGGCTGATCCTGGAGTCTGGGGAAGGATGTGTGGACCATCCTGGAACTGGCCTGGATGTGGTATGCACTGATTGATTTCTGAGTGGCCAGCAAGCCCTAGAGAAACCCAACTTCCTCCCAGATTCCCTTTGAAAGTCTTAGGAAAATCTAACATTAAAATATCTCCCTCGGGGAGGGGCTGGAGAGATGGCTTAGTGGTTAAGAGCACTGACTCCTCTTCCAGAGGACCTGAGTTCAATTCCCACAACCTCATGGCAGCTCACAACTGTCTGTAACTCCAAGATCTGACACCCTCGCACAGACATAACATTCAGACAAAACAACCAATGCACATAAAATAAAAACAAACTATTAAAAAATCTGCCCTGGGAAGTGTAGTGTAGCTCAGTGGGTACAGCGTTTGCCTAGGTAGCTGGCAGGAAGCCCTGGGTTCTGTCATGGGTACCACCTAAATTAGGTATGGTGCATGTGCAAGCACAAGGGTGAGGAGTTCAAGGTCATCCTCGGCTACACACCAAGTTCAAGAGCACTCTCGGCTCCGTGAGATTCTGCCTTCAAACAAACAAATATCCCGCCTGGAGAAGAGAGCCACACACCATCCTCCCTCAAGGCTTACTTCTGTGACCTAAAAGCTTCGTTTGCAAACAAGACTTGGGGTTGCACCTAGCCAGCTCCAGCCCATCCTCTTCCTGTTACGGAATACCCAGGTCCCCTCCTCCACCATCCCCTATCAAAGGTGGCTTGGGGGGACACAGGCACCCAGAGGCTGGGGATACCAACTCACTCATGAAGTTGACCACTGGGGTCTTCTTGGGCTTCGAGGGTCTGACAACCCTGGGCTGAACCCAGACATGTGTTTCCTCAGGAGCAGGGGGTGATTCCACCTCGTTTGTCTCGTCAGCTTCCGGCTTCTGATTGTAAGGCTCTTCTAGTAGGTGGTTAAGAGTGAGAAAGAGAACATGCTGAATTCACCCAGAATGCCTGTCTTAGTTAGGGTTTCTATTTCTGTGATGAAATACCATGACTAGAAAGCAAGTTGGGGAGGAAAGGGTTTATTTGACTTGTACATCCATCATTAGAGGAACTCAGGACAGGAACTCAAGCAGGGCTGGAACCTGGAGGCAGGAGCTGATGCAGAGGCCAAGGAGGGTGCTGCTTAATGGCTTGTTTCCCCAGGCTTGCTCAGCCAGCTTTCTTATAGACCCCAGGACTACCAGCCCAGGATAGCACCACCCACCATGGGCTGGGCCCTCCTCCATTGATCACTAATTGAGAAAATGCCTTACAGCTGGATCTCATGGAGGCATTTCCTCAACTGAGCTCCTCCCTCCCTGATGACTCCAGTTTGTGTTAACTTGACAAACACACACACACACACACACACACACACACACACACAAAACCTAGCCAATACAATGCCCTTCGTTTTGTTTTTGAGATAGACTCTTACTGTATACACCAGGCTGGCCTCAAACTCATGGAGATCCACTTGTCCCTGGCTCCCAAATGCTAGGGTTAAAGGTGTGCGCCACCAAATCCATCCCCAAAATAGGGACTAAACTCATTTGAGATTTGGCTTCACAAAGAGTCGTTTCAAGCACAGTGAGAAGGTTATGTTGGGGACAGGCAGTCAACTCACTTCCATGTTTGCTTTGGACCTTAGAGAGGCAGCCTGGGCTTAGATCAAGGTGCAGCAGCCACGCCTGGAGGTTAGAATAGTCATTTGTCCCTCCTCATCTTCCACACAACCGTCTGTCCCCATCCTTAACCATAGCCTCAGAGCTGTAGCTCTCTCTGAGGTCCCTCTGCTTCCTGGTTTTGTTGGGCTACAGTCCCAAAGACTCATGCCACACTTTTACCCCGAGTGACAGGGACCGCTCACCCTGCTCAAGCCATGGCTTGGCAATGGAGATTTGCTGTCTTAACATTGGACCTGGCTGGGCAGAGTGGCTCATACCTGTAATCTCGGCATGCAGGAGACTGAAGCAGGGGGACAAGTTCACGGCCAGCCAGCCCATATAGTGAGTAACATGACAATCTAGACTACATTATGAGACCCTATCCCCTAGCTGGCTTCCTATTGATGTGATAAATACCACAGCCAAAAGGACAGTGGGGAGGAAAGAGTTTATTCAGCTTAAACGGATTACAGTTCAGTGAAGGAAGCCACAGCAGGAACCTGGAGGCAGGAACTGAAGCAGAGGCTATGGAGGAACAATGCTTGCTGCCTTGCTCTCCATGGCTTGCTCGGCCTGCTTGTACAACTCAAGACCACCTGCCCAGGGGTGGTTCCACCCACAGTGGGCTGGGCCCTCCCATGTCAATCATTAATCAAGAAAATGCCCCCACAGACTTGCCTGCTGGCCAAGCTGATGGAGGCATTTTCTCAGCTGAGGTTCCTTCTTCCCAGATGACACTAGTTTGTGTCAAGATGAGACACTACCCCCCCCCAAAAAAAAGCCCTAACCAGTACACTCTCTCTCAAAAAGCATTAGCCCTGGTACACAGAACTTTGCAAAACCTCAGCTCCTGGTTTAAAAGATTGCTGCTTACTTGCTCTCAATCTTTGTCCACCCAAGGCATCCTATACTATCCCTTCTCCTTCATCATGACCTCCCCCTTTCAAAGCACCATTTTATGGGACAAATTGTCCCTCTTGGCCTCATTAATTCCCATTCTCATCCAGGACGGTGGACCGCCGGGACACCAGACTCTGACTTACAGCAAAGCAGAGCCTGAGGGTGGGCTGGCTTTCCTGTGCTGCCTTTACCCACGTTGAGCCCCTAGGTGGCCCCACTGAGGACCACAGTTCTCCACAAGAGTCTGTATGGCAGAGCCAGGAAGCACGCTTCCGGAAACACACCTCAAAGGAGAACCCATGGGGCTCCCTGATGTTCAAGGAACCTGCTGAGCACACCTCCCTCATGCCCTTTTGCACCTCAGCCCAACAGCCTAACCTTGCTGATTAATGCTCCTATTGGCCAATGAGGGGGACGAGTCTCCGCCCACCCCCACCCCCCAGGCTGGCAGTCTGCTTCCTAAGAAAATGCTGTCTCCGGTGCCAGAGTCAGACTGTTTGGGCCAAGACTATTTCAAGAAGAAAAAATGAAGCACCCACAGGCACCTCTGATTCCACAGAGGCCCTTCTTCCCCACGAGCTGTCTTCAGAGAGTAGCAGCCCGGGGCTTCATGTCCTGCACCACCATGACAGGTAGCCAAAAGAAGGGTCAACAAGTGAGGCGCCCCTGTCGTTCTAGGTGGGGACCTGCGCAGTGGGTGGGAGCTGACTCATGCCGGGCTAGCCCTGGCCTGAGAGGAGAAGGACAGGGAAGACAGAGGTGAAAGACTATGCATGGCTGGCTGTAATTTCATCTGTGTCACCAGGAGCCCCAGCTTCATGGCCCACCAAACCCCCAGCATTCTGTACACAGGAGAAGCTCACCAAAATCCCAAGCAACAAGTGACACCAGCACGTGCCCCCCCCCCCCCCCACACACACACGAGAGCCAAGGAATAAGAATGCCCAGCAGCAAGGCCTAAGGTTCCTAAAGCACAGTAGCACCAGCTCTGGGCGGAACCCCCGGGGCTGCACAGGCAGCCTCAATGGCTATCCCATCAATGCAGCCACTCACAGGCCCCTCTCTGTCTGGGCATGGGCTGGGTTTCTTCCATTGGCTTTAAGGTATGATGACTCAAAAGGCCAGCTTCACTGAGCCAAATCTGGTTTGGAAGGGTCTGAGGGGGCTCACTCTTTCAGAATGAGGGTGGACAGTCCTGGTCCCTAGCCCCACGCATAAAAATGGAAAGCTGAAAAGTCATGGACCCAACCCCTCCCGTGAGGTGCCAGAGGGATGTGTGACTCAAAGGGACTTGGGCACTTCCTAGTAACCATCCCTGCATACCCCAGGCTCTGCTCACTCCCAGCCTATTCAACACACAGTGTGTTCCAGGTCCCCCCTGTGACTGGTGACAACTGAGCATTCAGGCCCTCCCCCAACTTCTCATCCTGCTGTTATAAGGGTCATGGCAACCACTTCACACACGAGGATGCTGAAGCTGAGAGAGGCGAAGGGACCCATCAGAGGGGCTGGAGAGATGGCTCAGCATTTAGGAGCACTGACTGCTCTTCCAGATGGACCTGAGTTCAATTCCCAGCACCCACATGGCAGCTCACAACTGTCTGTAACTCCTGTTCCAGGGGACCTGACACCCTCACATGCAGGCAAACACCAATGTACATAAAATAAAACTAAATAACTTTTTTGAAAAGGACTCATCGGAACTCACAGAGCTGGGATGTGGCTGGGCAGAGAGCTGGGTTTCTCCCCAGCCTGTTATCCCCCACAAGTGCCGGATGGAAGGAAACTTCTATCCTTATCCCTAAATCCTTGTGTCCCCATTATAGGTCATGGCCTTAAGGGTGCCACGGCACACCCTTATTTAGTGGCTTATGCAGATAAGCTGAGTTAGGGGAGGTTTTCTTCAGGGTTAGCTGAGAAACCTACAGCGCCTGCCAAGCAGAGTTGGGTGTTTTCCACCACAAATAAAGACATAAGCACATGGGCTCCGTGGGATGGGTAAGCCTATGTCTGGGGCCTCTGTGTGCCCTGGCTGCTTGAAAGAGCCCTCTGTGGAGCTGAGGGTCTGTTTACTCACCAGCACGCAGGACGCACCTGCCCGGCACCCTGGAGTGCACCAGCAGCTGTAATAACAGGGCAACCAGGTGCTTGAGGAGTTTGGGGGTCACGAGAACATGGCGGCAGGTGCCTGTCTGTCTGGCCTTCAGAGAGCTCCCTGAAGAGCTGTCACTGTGCATGGGATGGACCGCAGGCGGGGTTGAAATTGTCCCTGCTCCTATCGCATCCCTCACTTCAGCTAGCTGGATAGCCGAGAGCCTGGCCTTCTGGGATCTAGGACCTCTGCTCTTCCACATCCCAGGGTCCAACAGACCTCATGCCCATCTCAGGGACACTACAGGCAAGAGGGCCACTACTGTCCCGTGCAGCGCAGCTCCTCCTTCCCCTGTTGGCCCCGGCCAGCTGTTGGAACCACCCAGAACACAAATCTCAACCCCAAACATCTGCTCCACTGGGGACTCCCTGTGCCTCTTCTGAGACATGACTTCTGAAAGCCAGGAGAGCATGTTAGGTGTGAGAAGGTGCGGTTTTTACAGTAGAGAGAAAAATGGATGTTTCCTAAGCAGCCCAGAGTGAGCCAACAGAGCCACAGGCAGAAGGCAGCCTGAGCTTCAGCTGCTCTGGCCCCAGGCAGCCTTGAGAGCAGTCACTCTTTAGAAAATGTGTTCAGGACGAGGCTGCCAGGGCCTGGGGCTGATTGGGAACCGTCCAACCACCTGGAGGTTTTGTTTGGGGGGAGATCCGAGGAGGTGAAAGTATTGCTATGTATCTTACACTGGTCTCAAATTCATGGCAATCCCCCTGTCTCAACTGCCCAAGTGCCAGGATGATAAGAGGTGTGAGCCACCGCCTCTTACAACCATCTATTTTAAGCAGGCTGAGCATGCTAAGGGAGGTGAGGAGGAGGTCTCAGGTCAAGGCCATGTCCACTGCCCACTGGGGCCAAGCCAAGGAGCTGCCTGGGTGGGTGGGGGGCGGGGTAGGGGGCGTGTCTCAGGACATCGGGGTCTTCAGGTGGCAGGGACTGAATGCAGAGAGCAAAAGGGCTCAGACCCAGAATGTGTCAGGGGTGGCTGCAGGGGTGAGTCTGAATCTGACGTCATTTCCACGTCATCCCTCACGGTCTGTGGCTCAGAGTGCTGGAAGCCACACAGAGGGCTGGGGCCAGCGCACCACCTACCTCGGTAGCACAGGTTGTTTCGGCAGCTGCCTCCATAGCTGGGCGGGCACTCAGAGCAGGGAGGGCCGTGCTTGTAGGGAGCCTCGCCAATCCAGTTTCCCCTAGAGACAGAGCAGAATCGCTGTGAAGGAGGTCACCAGGGAGCCCTCAAACCAAGTCCCTGACGTTAGGAGAAAGACAAGGCCACTTGTCTTGGGTAAGGGACAGGCAGCTGCTTGGCCTCCCCCGGCCCGTGCCAGTCAGCCAGGGAGCTCTGGGCACTATGATGAGACCCTGTCACTGAGCACTGTGTTAGTAATGGCTCCCTGGGTGACATATGGAGCCCCAGACCCATCGGAGCAACCTCGGGACCCCTAACCCAGCGGGCCTTGGTTCATTATTTATTCAGTGGGTAGCCACCAGGACAAGCTCTTGGTCAAGGCTCTTGACAGTATCTATAAAGCAGAGATGCCCACCAGGGTGGTCTGTGGTAGTTTTCTAGGGAGGCAAGGGTTTCTGCTAGAGCGAACGAGATATGCCGCAGACACCTCTATGTACTCGGTGTCCCACTGCAATGGCCGAAGAGTCATGACACCAAGCAGGGAGGGAGGTGGTCTGCGTTGGGGAGCTCGCCTCCTCCTCTGCCACCGTCACAGCACGTCCTCCTCTCTACAGTTCCACCTGGACAGCTGGGACAGTCTCTGGGCATTGCTGTGGACCTCACAGTTCTAACCCCTCAAGTATTTGGGTAGGGGATGCACAGTAGGGGACACTGGATGAGCTCCCTTGGGACATCAGGCATGGCCTGAAATGTCCCCAGCTGTTCACGAGAGAACCTGATGGTCTCCACAGACAACCAAGGCCCTGCAGGGCTTCGTCTTGCTTCCCAAGACCAGTTTTCCTCTATTTCCTCTATACTGACTCTATTTCCTTAAGCACCTCCAGGCTTCCAGGCCTATAAGGGCAGAGACCAGTGTTCATTGAGCAGGCTGGCCTCTCCAGCTGGACAGCAGAAGGCTAGGTTCCCAAACCTCTGACCAGTCCATGGATGGTCCTCTCTTCCCACATGAGGCCATGGGGACAAGAGCCAGGCACGTCTTGCACCATTCCCAGCCTCTGGCTCATTGTTCCCTCCCTGGCTCAATGATAGTGTCCTGACCGGCTAAGAGGCTGGGAACACCTCTTGAAGGAAAAGGCTGTGGGAAGCATGGACTAGTAAATAGCAGTCAAAAGTAACTAGCATACAAACTGACCAGTGCCTGCCCTGCCCCCGTCCCATGGAGGCCCACCCTCCCCTATGGCCACATCTCAGTACAGGCCTTTAGGAGAGTAATTAAGGATAATGCTATCAGGAGAGGGGGGCCTGCTCCAATAGGACCGGGACCCTTGTCAGAAGAGTCCCAAAACAGATGCCCACTCCCTGCTCTCTCTCACAGCCACGTGGGCACACAGCAGAAAGATGCGTGACTGCGGGCCGGAAGAGATTTCCCTGCAATCCATGTCTCCAGGCCTTCATCCCAGATGTCTACCCTCCAAAACAGGCACGTGTCTGCCGTTAGGTCCCAGCCTCAAGTGTTCACTGAGGGTCCTCGGCTGGTTGAGCAGGAGATGGTGTGGCTCCTTTACCAAGAAAGGGGAGAGAATAGTGCCAGGGAAGGAAAGTAATTTCTGTTAAAACATCTTTTTCCCTTTTATTACTTAGTAGGTATGTGTGTGTGTGCATGTGGGAGTTGGTTTTCTCTTTCTACTATGTGGGTTCGGGGGCTCGAACTCAGGTTCATCAGGCTTGCAGGCAAGCCCCTTCACCCGCTGAGCCTTCACACTGGCCCCAAGAGTTATGTTTCTGATTAGAGCGGCCGGTGGTTTTTAAACATGAAGATTTAATCCCATTCTCTCCCTTCAGCCGAGCGAGGAACTGTCCCGGGACGGAAGCCTGCCGGAGTGTGGCTGTTAAACTGCTGCCCAAAGCTCCACGGTTCTCCAGTCTTTTCCCCTCCCAATCCCCAGCTCCCCATCCCCACCGCGCTCCACCTCCTCTGACCTGCTTCATGACTGGTAAATGATGAGTGTGTCAGGGAGCCCACCACAGCGCCTGTCCCCGTGCCGGGATGGCCGCCAGCATCATTGTTCAAACCACAGGCTGCAAACGGTTACGTGGCCCTGTGCTCTGCACATACGTGTCTGTGCCCTGAGTGATGCATCGGGTGAGTGACGCACTGTGACCCGGATGCTCTGAGGAGAGGGCGGCTGCTCTGGGCAGACCCGGTGTGGCCTGTTCAGGCAGGGAATAGAACCTGATACAAATCAGACAGTCTCTCCCCCCTCTCTTTCTACTCTCTCCTCGCTCCCATCCTCTTTCTCCGATCTGTTCCACCCCACCCCCCAGCAGACTTCTTTTGCTTGTACAAGTGGCCTCAAGAGATGACTCATAAAACCAGTTGGAGCAATTGTGGTCTGCACACCCCCTTTTATGATTGCTCTCATTCTGGCCAGTGACATTCCGTGCAGGGAATGCCAGAGGAGACAACCCATGTAGACACCCCTACAGTTCTACCATGTAAAGTAGAATCGGAAGTGAACACGATGCTGGAACTCTGCAGCCTACTTGGGGCCCTGAGGACCTCAGGAAGGGCCCAGGTCCTTGCTGACTCTCCGAGCCATCTGCTCATCCAGAAGCAGCGATTTCTAGACTCTTTGTGTGTGACCAGGACGACGTGGTCTTACTTTGGAGAATAATTGCAGACAAGATACACGGCGTTCTCCCAAATGTCTCCCCAGACGTTCATGTTCCGGCAAGTGTGCACAGCGCAGCCAATCTTGTTGGTGGTGGCCCAGACCATCTGAAAAGACAGCGCTGTGTTGCAGCTCCGAGGTAGGGTGCCCCAGAGCGACACTGGTAGGTAGGGCACCAGAGAAGGGTAAACCATCCACTAAGGGAGGGCACTCTTTAAAAAAAAAAAAAAAAAAAAAAAAGCTATGTGCACACAATGTTGGGGGGGGGGATTTAAAAACCTCAGCAATGTAAAACCACCATAGAAGCTGACAGAGCTGGGCTCATGCCAACGCTCTTGTCCTGTGAACATGGGAGCACAGCAAACAGCAGGACCCAACCCAGTGTGCTCTGAGGTGCGCTAAATTAAAGCAAAGGCCTCAGGCAGTAAGCACACAAGCGTTCACTTCCAACCACACTGCCCAGGTCTGGGCACAGGCTGAGCAGAGGGCAACGCCTGTTTTACCTGTGTGTAGTGGGTGCACATAGCCCCTGAGCAGCGCTCTGGGCACCACGGGTTGCACTCGTGGGGGTAGGGGTAGGTGTAATCCTTCACCTCGTCATACCAGGACTGCACGTGGAACGCCGGAGAGCGGTACCTACAGGGACGGAAGCGGCGGGTGGTCCCCAGATCGGCACCCAGGCACCCAGCCCCACCAGCACCTGCCTGAAACCACCCCGTCCTGGATGGCCTCCACGCTACCTGTGTGTGCGGGGGACATTTGCTTTTGTCCCCTTAATTGTGCGTTCATTTTCCACATACAACAGGTGAAAGACAAGCAACTCAAGAACCCGAGGTTTCAGACACCGAAGCTGAGACCACGTGGATTGAAGCGGAGAATGCATGCAGGTAGGGGGAGGAACTGCAGCTACTCGGGAGGTGGAGGCAGGAGGATGCCAACAGCCTGGGCTAGGGAGTGAATTCGCTGGACAACCCAGAGCTTGACTCAGAACAAAAGTGAAAAGAGGTAGGGTGAGGCTCAGCAGTAGTAATTGCATGCGGGAGGTTCCAGAGAGAGAGAGAAAGAGGGAGGGTGGGGAGAAAGAATAAGAGAGAGAGAGAAAAAATGGATCAGGGCCAAGCAGATGGACTGTGCAAGGAGACTGGGTAAAGATAAAGGGTAGATGGATAGATGTATATTATAGATTCACTTAAAGCTGATATAAAGAAAGACCAGCAAACATTAAGAAAATCGCTGACGCATGACACACAGCTATGACACTATGGTGGGCCATTGGTCTGCGACCACTGTCCCAGCTTGGCCTTGAACTCAAGATTCTCCTCCCTCCTCTTCGTGGGTGCTGGGATTCCAGGTGTGAGCCGCTATGCATTCATTGTTCTAGTTTGTTTCAATCAGGAAGAAAAACTGTAACTTGTCTGTGAACCCGCGGTCCCTTGGTCACCAGCAAGTGTAAACAGAGTGGTTCACAGGGAATGATGTCTCCGGCAAAATGGCCGTTGGTGACAGCTTTGTGGTCAGCCAGGCAGTTTGAGGTCTTGTAACAATTACCGCCCAGGCCCAGCACCAGCAGCCACGGTCAGCCAGCCCCGGGACACCACCTCCCCCCAGGGCCTAGGAGACACGTGCCACGAGGAGCTGGGGCAGAAGCCAGCCTGCCTGTCACTCCTAGCCATGCCAGGATGCCTTAGGGGAGGATCCTATCCACCCAGGAGGATCCCATCCCTGTCCTAGGGCCCCTGGAGGGATGACCGGAGGGCCTCAGGACAGAGGCAAGCACCAAATGAAAGCCACGGGGACAGAAAGGCTTCCTGTGGAGCTGTGCAATGGACAGACCATCTTCACCCAAGGAGCCACCATGACTCTAGAAGAAAGGGGGTTAATAGAAGGAAAAGGGATGCCAGCCAGGGTGGTAGTCTGGGCTGCAATTACTTGGAATTTTGTAAGAACACGTTGGGGCCCAGCCAAGTAGCAGGCTGTAAATGAATGAAGAGCTGAGCCTGTCAGAGCTGCAGTTATTTTGGGGGATGGAACCCAGAGCCTCAAACCTATCAGGCAAATGTTCTACCACCCCACACCCCGATAACGCACAGGGATGCCAAGCCCTCTGTGGAAGTGGCCCTGCTACAGCAGCCTGACCAACTCAAATGGAAGACGCTGCAGATCAGGGTGCCAGCTGACCTTACCTGCCCCAGTGCACGGCCAGGTTCTGCCCGATGGACACCAATAGGCTGGCGGGCCCATGCTCCCACAGGCACTCCTGTGCCCATGCTGCTGCAGACCTCTCCAGCTCCTCATCCCAAGTCTGCAGGGGAGAGAGGCGACAGCAGAGGTCAGGAGGATGGAGCAGAAACCCCAGCCCCGGGGATGTCAGCGCTCTGGCTGTGCCTCAAACCTTGGAGAAACCTCCTTGAGTCCAAAACTGGGGAATGCCAAATGACAGTAATCAGACACATAGAGGGCAGGTGAGTTCCTGGTCACTCACAAGCCATTCTTAGGAGCCGAGAGCCCGCCCACGCCCTCCAGTGCCAGCCCTGCACGCACGTGAGTCTCTCCCTGCCTTTCTGGCACAGTCCAGAGAGTGCTCTTCTTGAACTGAGGCTGTGAGAAGCCAGGCCATTGCCTCACGGTCTCATCGGCTCACAGGCTCATACCCAGATAGTCTTAGAGCTAGGCCCTGGTACTAGGCCTGTGGGACCCTCTGGGGATACCTGACTCTCAAGGAGTGCCATGATATGTTGCCAGAGAAAGCAGAAATTCAGGCACCATGCTTGCTTCCTTTTTAAGGAACGAGATGTGGGAGGCAGTGAGGTTTCACCATGTTGTTCCCTCTTGGCACCATGTGTGTCAAGAGCCAGCCCCTTCCCAATGAGCCTCTCTGAGTCTAACCCCATCTGCAGATTGGGGTTAGTACTTCCTGTTCTCCCAGGTTCCCAGCAGGGTCCCTCAGGTCCCCGTGCTCGCACCCCCAATCCAGTTCTCCGTGGCAGCTCTGTTAGGAAGATGCTCCACACTGCCCACCTTCCCGGGGGCGCTGCTGGGACATGGTCCCCAGGCGGGAGCTGTCTCCACCTTGGCAGACGGTAGGGAGATGAGGGAAGTGTGAAGCTTGACAACATAGCCTCCATGAGCAGTCCATTGAGGCCCCATGCCTGTGAGAATGGTGCCCAGTCACCCTGGGCAGTGCCTGAGGAGCAATGGGCATCAGTGTCTGCAGGGGTAAAAGCTACAGAAGTAGAGGTTCTCGGGCAGGGTGCAACCCGTGACACTGAGGTGTGTGATCTGCCTCAACTCACCCCACCCCCAATTCTGGAAACCAGCCAAGGAGGACGTTTCCACCCTGGAACTCGGGGACAAATGGCCATTTCACCTGGCTACCCCAAATAGCTTGGAGCAAGAGCTCAGAGGGGCTGGCCTCTCTGGTTTCTCTCATCCTTGACAAAGGGAGGCATCAGCCACAGACTGAGCAACTGAAAGAACCTGCCCATGAACTCTGCCATGAGGTTTTATGTTTCTAACAAAAAACAAAAACAAACAAACAAACAAACAAACAGCCATTCCATGGGCTAACATCTTGGAAAAATGCACAGATTTCCAGAGGAAAAAGATGTGGGTTCATACTGTGCTTCCCACACCATGGAGGAGGCCCGTTGGCAGCCCAGAGCTGAGGCAATTCAGAGTACAGGCAAGCCAGCCAGAGTTGGGCAGAAGGCTGGACTAACCCTAGGGGTAAAGCCAGAAGCCACCATCAGGTGCCAAGCTGAACAGCACTCAAAAAAAAAAAAAAAAAAAAAAAAATCACACCAGCTTCAGATTTGGTAAGATACCTGGAAAAGCCCTTTGAGAGAGTTAGATAACATAAAAAGAATAAACTATGTAAGGATGGGAAAGAGTTTAGAGAAAATTAAATAGATATTAAATTAGAAAGCAGTAAAGGAAAAATAAATAAATATGCATAGAAAGTAATGTCTCTGAAGGAAGGAAGGAAAGAAAAATAGATAAAAAATGATTTGAAAGGTACATAGATGCTAAAGAAAGTAAAGAAACTGAACAAAAAGAGTCATAGAAAAAATACTGACTTTGAATACAAAAACTAAAGTCTCCAAAGGAAGGAGAGAGAGGAGAAATTAAAAATAAAAATATTTTCTGTGTTTAAAAAAAGGAAGAATACAATGACAGAGCACACTTGGACCCTGTATAATTTTGTTTTGATTATCAGTAAACAAATAACTATATTTTCAGTAATGATTACAATTTCAGAATAAAGCTGACTTAGAGAAGGAAAAGACTGAAAAATTAAATGCTAGAATGGAAGTGGTAGAAGAGAGATCGGAAAATCCTTTGATTCAGAATAAAGGATCTTCAGAGGGATATATCTGGAACTGACAGCACCAGCAGAATGGTAGTCCCCAATGAGAGAAATGCACAAAGGCTTAAGGATATTGCAGAGCGGCGGGTCATACAGATGCTATAAAGAAGCTTCAGAATAGATGTTATATTAATAATGTCAAGGATCAGTTCCAGGTGAAGGTTTACATGCTGAGTTAAAAGCACAGATTCTGCTTAGTGAGGCCACTTTAGAGCAATGTCATACAGTAGTTCATGTGTTTCACTCTGTAGAGTTTAGAAAATTAAGTATGTGTGCCATACCATAGATATACATTCAGAATCTTAATGTGCTTCTGCCTGGAGTTCTGAAAGGAATGATTCTGAGGTTGCACATTAATTAGAGGTGATGGCTATCTTGGAGATGCCTTCACAGATCGAAGCTGATATCCAGTAAATACAACAATATTTTAATGCTACAGATATATCTTACAATCCCATAGGACAAGCAAATGTGGAGAAATATAAAGAAAATGTTCATAGAACAGAAGGAAGATATAGAGTCTCCCAGAGATTAGATTAAATAATGCTTTATTGACTTTAAATTTTTTCAAATGTCAATGAGACAGATGGCAGAGCTGCTGAGGGATGTTGGGCTGTGTTAAAAACTGCTGAATTAGAGTAGCCTATATATTATAAGAATGTCTTAACTTCAGAATGGAAAGCAAGAAATGAGTTGCATTGGTGGAGAGGTTTTGCCTTTGTTTCCACAGGAGAAGAAAAGCTATGGATTCCTTCAAAATCAATAAAGATCAGATTTGACCAGGGGAAACCTCCTAAAAATCTTGCCTTTAGACACGAAGGGGAGAAAAACAAGAAGAACAACAAAACAGGTGACATATATGCTGATCCCTCTACATGGGAACAGCTCTCAGACTGGTTGAAACATGAATAGGTCTCTTTTAGCCAATAAATCTTGTTAGCTAAGGAGTCCTCATGAATTATTTTTACATGTCATCCTTTCATATGTCATGGATGGAGATCTATATTACAGTTTGGTTATACAGTTCAAAAGGACTTATGAAAGTTCGATGCCTTTCCTGCTCAAACATAGAGCAGAGACTCATCTTTAGTTATTTATGCCCACCACACATCCCATGCATGTTTGACATGTTTAATGCGGAAGTGTACCCTGCCTTTAAAAGTTTGTGTGCGTACAGAGACCCAGACACCAAAGAAGACAGGACAAGTAGCCCTTGTGGCCCAGCCTCACAGTCTGCCTCAATAGCTGTCTCTCTAAAACTCTGCATCTGATACAACTTCAAAATGGCTGGCTAGATGCTCCAGCCTCACAGACCATTCCAGCCAGGACTTCAGTCAAGCCCTGCACTTTCCCATCACGCAGAGACTAGGCAACAGTACAGCTAGCTCTCCCAGGACTTGGCCATTGTTCCAAAAGAGATCTACAGAATGTGGCATTTAAAGATGTTTTCATAATAAAAGTTGTTTGTTTGTTTGTTTGTTTGTTTTGACAGAGAGACATGACTGTTCCTGGCAGCACTCCCATACTACTTCAAAGAAGATGATGGACACTGAAGAATCCCTATATGGAGTTTGCCTCATTTGTGGCAAGCTAGCCATTGGGGAGAAAAAAAAAAAAAAAAAAACTGGCCTTGTCTCAACTGCTGATAGCATGCTGTCCAAGCTGTGGACAAGCAGGACACAAAAGAAATCAATGGCCAAACTTTACCAGGACACAGGTAGGCAAGGCAAGTCCTTCATAATTCATGCTTTACAGAAAACTCTGTCAGATACAGGCCAGCAGGCTGAAGAGATGGATACTCCAACATGACAGAGGAATCTTAGGTGACTGTCCAGGTAGCCAGCAACCTCTGTCATTTCTATTGTTTCGGAAGCTTCTTGCTCTGCACTTCCTGTCTACTCAGGTAAAATTTATCCTCCTCAGGTCCCTGATGTGATTAAAGACTAGATAGTTGTAGTCTCACAATTAAGCTTAAGTTGTTTAGGATTTAAGAAAATGTTTTAAGGCCTAAAAAATGTTTTTAAGTTGATAAAAACAAGTTAGGATAGAAAGTATTTAAATAGAGAACTTTAAACTCACCAAGATAAGATAGGGAAGGGACTACTTTCTCCAAGGTTGCCAAATACAAATGGACTAGACATTATGAATGTAATTCTTACCTGATAGATTTCATAATTGTTCTTATTGTATAGAGTTTATTAATGTAAGAGAAAGAGCCTTTTAGTGGACTAAAAGGAGAGATGTTGGAGTGATGTTTTTGTGCACTGGGTAAAGCTTGTATCTTCAAGTGCTGATTTCTGTGGCAGCAGAGAGCTGAATACAGACTGGACTTTGGCATTGTTAAGCATCATCGGCCTTAGTGTTTTGTAAACATTGTTCTCCATCTCCTTCTGATTGGTTGGGTAAAGACCTGAACGGCCTACAGCAAAGGCAGGAGAGAATGGGGCAAGACTTCTGGAGAGATAGGAACTCTGAGAAAGAAAGAAGAGTGAAAAGATTTGCCTACAGGACACAGAGGAAGCTGGACACAGGAAACTGAGGAGCGGTAAAGAGCCACATGGCAGAACACAGACGAAATGAGTTTTAAGAGCCAGTTGGGGACCAGAGTAAGTTAGGACCTAAAGCGATTATAAATAAATATAAGCCTCCGTGTCATTATTCAGAGCTGGGGCGGACATAGGAAGTCTGAACAATTTCAGTGATTGGCCTGTCTCCCGGGGACAAGAACCTAAACAGGGCTGAACAGGGAGAGAAGCCAGGCCTGGGCTCCGCTGAAGGAAAGAGAGAAATGAGGGATAAGAAGGGAAAGGCTGAGGTAGCAGTGTGATTCATTTGGGTAGAGTCCTTGAATCTTAGTTAGAAGAGAGCCTGTCGCTGAGTTGGTAGAGTTCATAGCTCAGTTGGCAGAGTGCTTGCCTGGCATGCACACAACCCTGAGCTCCATCCCCAGCATCCATAAACTGGGCACGGTGGTAGACACCTGTAGTCCTAGCGAACGGGAGACAGAGCAGACGATCAGAAGTCCAAGGCCATCCTTGACTACTAGAGAGTTTGGAGGCAGCCTAGGCTGTCAGAAAGGGAACCAGGCACATCAGTAACCCCAACACTTACGAGCTTGGATGCAGATGGGTCAGCGTTAGCCTCCGCTACATAGTGAGTTCAAGAACGGTCTGGGCTACATGAGACCTCTCAACAAAACCATCAGACACTGCACCAGCCCTGGGCCTGCCATCACCCCTAGGGAAGGGGCACGGGAGTGGGGGGTGCTCACCATGTACTCCATGTTGGAGGCAGGGGGATACACCTGGCCTCGAAGCTTGTTGTGCAGCATGAGGATTTCCTGGCGGTCGGACATGGGGATGGCTCTACGCACTCGTGAGTGTGGCTCTGCCTGCTGGTACTTGCTCAGCAGCTTCTCCAGGCTTGTGATGTTGGGAAGGAGAAAGGCCTGTGCTCCGCAGACCAGCAGAGCCAGCCCCATTGGGACCACGCTGTTCAGAAGGCAGCTCATGGCCCCACGCCTGCAGCCACAGCTAAGGGGATGGGGCAGCCTGGGCTCTTGGATTACGGCTGGGTACCGGAGGGTTCTGGAAGGAAAAAAGGAGGTAGGAGACAGCAGGTTAGAACTAAGTCAGCCATGCCCAATGAATGCCACCACATCAGAATAGGGAGGGGGCTCTGTCCCTTCAGCCAAAGTCTCCCCTAGTCTTTGCTCACACAGAAATGCCAGGTGTGTAACTGTCCCACGGGCTTGGGACTGCCAGGGGCAAGGTGGACAGAGGTAGGGAAACTGTGGAAGATGAGGCAGAGTTCTAGAGCGATGCTCGCTGTTGCAGGAGGCAGGGCAGAGCCAGAGTGCTCTGAGAAAGGCACAGTTCTCACCTCCTGCCCTGGAGCCCTTCCAGGGTCCCGACCAAGCCTGTGCGAGACCAAAGGCACAATGCAGAGAGGCGGGGCTCAGCTGCTCTCCAGTATACCATAGTCAAGCCTTGCCCTGCTCCAAGGAAGGAGGCCTCAGGGGCAGAGCCCAGGGGACTGTGGGATGCCCACTGTAGGCAATGGCCCAGCCGGAAAGCACAGCAAGGATACAGAGCATTCAGCATGCTGGAGCGCTGCTGGGTCAGTCAGACCACCATATGCACACCCCTAGTTGCAGGGTCAGGTCAAAGTGACACGGCTAAAAGAATGTGTCACTGCTTCTCCGCCCTGGGATCACGGCAATGCCCCGCCTATGTTACTTTGTGCTTGAGTGGCGTGAAGGGCGGGCCCCACGGCCCAAAGCATTAACTGTCATTTGACCCTGCTATGCCCAAGCAGATG